AGAGAGTAAGCCAAAGGAGTTTCCTGTAGTGTGTGCGCTCAAAAGATGTCATATGTATATCTTACTCGCTCGTTGGACCAGATGCAAACCAATTTTTGGAGACCACATATTTTACTCTGCATGTCCGGTCTATATGTTTTTTGGTTAGTGATTTTAGTTAACCAATTATTTTGATTGGTTTTTAGCTTATTTAGTTGCTTTAAGGACTTCGCAGTGTTGGAAAGCGGAGCATTATTGTTTGCACAGCTCGGTTAAAAGAGTTTAAATGACTTCTTTGTCAGTTCGTACTGTAAATTTGACATTGCATTCAAAAAAGCTAGCCATATAAATAACAGTAGAAATTCGATATTTATCGTTTGACCTGTGTGCCAAATATGATTTCGGATCGGACGCGTGTGCTGCTGCAGGACAAAGCAGTTGAACTGTAAATACGATGAAATATTTATCGAATCAATCGAATAGTTAATTAGTTATTAACTCACCTTAGAAGCCAGCAGTCTGGTGAAAGGTTTGCTCTTAGTTGAAGGCAGCTTGTCCAGAGATCTCCTCCAGTGCAAGAGTTCAATCAGATAGATTTGTTGACCCAAAAGTTTGGTTAGTTTTTCGATGCGATTATTGCATAAGCCTAAGAGGAAAATTTTTACTATTGGTGCCAGGCAATTGCCTACTTTGTAGACGACAAAATATTTCCACTTCTCCAAAGGACTCTCTTGTTCGTAGATAATATCATTTAATTCTTCGGCCATATCCAGCGATAACATGGCAATGCTGGCGAACAGGCCGCCAGCTATTTTCAGCCAGTGTTGTGTAATGTGGCCGTGTATCGCACACATGCGAAAGTAAAGGCCGTAAAAGAGCATTAGCTGATGACGATCACGTTTGTTGGGCCCAAGATTCCCAGCATAGGAACTGAGCAAATTGAGCAATACCTGATGCCAGGTTATTAAAAATTAACTGATAGAGAAAATAGGCCCAATAAAATAGCTCAAATAATACCAAATGATAAACAAACACCAGAAGAATATAATTGGTCATCATTTGATTCCATATTTGGAGCAAGGTCAAAACTAATTCGACTACAGAAATGATCAGAATATTATGTTCAAGCGTAAAATTGGATTTATCAAATGTTGAGCTCATATTTCTATGCAATTCCATTATCTGATTTATCACGGTCACATAGGCTCCACTATTGTTCCAACTGTGCAGGATATATAACATTCTCAGACACTGAAAGTTGACATTGCCGTAAATGGAGGTCTCCAGATAGAAATTGTAACCGGCACTCTTTTCCGAAATATTATCAAACATATGGGCGAAAATATCAGCCAGCATATAAATGTAATTCACATAATCGAGCAGCAACAAACATATTTTTATAGTCCAGGTAATGTACTTCCTTAAAGTCGTATGCTGGCAAATATATAACTTTTCCGTTTCTTCATTGTACTCAAAATAGCCAAAGGCACAGCCACGGCAGATTTGGTAAAGAGTCTGGCTTATAAAATGGACTGTCCTCTGGAACAAAAACTCGCCCATTTTCCCACACTGTTATCGTTTTCTAACTGTTGTCGTTGGACTCAATATCATATGGGGTAAGTTGAGAATATCATCAGAATAATAGTTGACAAATGGTCAGCTACATAAATGGCATCATTATTCCCACATATTATGTTTTATGTGCCGCATAATAGTCCCTTTCCATTGATTCAATTTTGTTGCATTGAAAATGTTGACAGGAATGTGTTGATAAAATGTTTTGTTCACATACGAAAAAAAAAACACTTGCCATTAATGAGTTGTGCGTTTAATTAATGGTTAACTTGTGGCCAGTTAATTACGCATTATCCTTTTGTCCTGTTGAATTTTTTTTGTTTATACCAGCAAGCACTAAGCTGCTTATTGACATGTTTTTATGCTGCCGCATTGAATGCTACTTTAACAGGCAGCTGTTAAGTCTGCGCTGTAAAAACAATAACAGCTTAACATGGCTGAAAAAGTAGCAAACAGGCTGCTGTTAGGCGGGTCTGTTAAAGCTTGAACAGGTTAACATTTTATTTCCCTGCTGCTGTTAAGGTACCAACAAATAATTTGCCTTCAGCTTATGCCCAAAGCATTTTAATAAATCTATAAAATTATATTCAAATCTAATTTTAATTAATGTGTAAAATGCTGCTGAAAATAGTAATAGCAAATACACTGGCGGATAGTTAAATTTATTTAACTTTTATGGCTGACTTTCAAAAGTAAGTTAAAAGTAAGGTATTTATTTACATTTTAATAATATGCGCTGTCTTTCAGGTGGTACGACTGACAACATAAGGACTTAACAGATATAGAACACGCATCTGCTCAATTATGATCTTAGCATTGATTGAGCTCTCCCTGTTAACTTAAACAGTCAGCTGTTATGTGGAGACAGTTTTAGTCGCGAGTTCGGCGAGCTGTGACCCAGCATCCCAGTAATCGGTGGCCGAAGACGTAAAAACTCTAAATATTATGTTTAATAATTCGACAAATTGTGTGTTCGGCAAACAAAGTGAAAATTAGTTTAATGAAAAGCAGTTAAAAGTTGTTATTAATGTTTGGTTTTAATTGCAAAGTTTCGCTCGCTCTCACAGAAAAACGTTCGAGCGAAAGAGACGCGCAAAGAATAGTGCAAAGCAAAATAACGGAATTAAAGAGCGGTCAGCGCGAGTGCTCAAAATATTACAGCAATAAATATGAATATATATATATATATATATGGTAAACATGCATTTATATGATGGTAAGTACATACATACATACATATATTTAATAGAATTGATAACTTTAAAGCAGTGTTGATTTATGTTGTGCGCAAATAGCAGAAAAGCAGTTGTAATTTTTGCCATTTCATTTTATATTTACCTGTTTTAATATTTACGCGTCAATTTCATTTTGCTTTCGCTTGTGTGCGGACACTTTACGAATATTTCTTCTTTTATTTTGTAACCCTATACCCATTGAAAATGTGTAGAAGAGGGTATAATGGTTGTGTTAAAATGTATGTAGCAGACAGAGGAGGCATCGCCGATGCTCAAAGGTGTATATGTATATTAATTATCCGGTTGTATGTGTGTGCGTGTCTGTGTATGTGAGTTGTGTAAGAATGTATATATATTTACTGAGTGGGAATCATTGTAATGGCGTTGCTTACAGGGTATTTGCTTGTTGAGCATTCTCAGCGACAAAACTCTTGCGTTTTTCGTGTTCGTTTTGCTGCTGTTGTTTGGGCGAATTGCAGGCCCATTGAATGCACAAGTGGCCAACATATTTGTACATTATGGCTGAGGTAGTAGGCAATGCCACTCGAACTGGCCCGTTGCCAACTACCCAGCATCATCAACATCATCATCTTGATCATTATGATGAGCATAGCAGAAACATTTTAACATTTTTCTGTGCATGCATAAAGCATAAAGGTAAGTAATTATGGCGCTGCCACCCCGCCCGCACCACTCGTTAGTTATCCTGTGGCAATTGGCGCCTTTTCAAGTGCCAATTGGCGGCATCGCACTGCTGCGCTGGCAGCGCAATCTGTCTGCTCCGGTTCTCTGCTTCGCTTTTGTATTTACATAACTGTTCCATGTTGGGCCTCGATGATGGCAACTTTTCAATTTGTATTTTGTATTTGTATTAACAAGAGCAAAATAACACGAGTGTATGCTCGTTAAATATGATCTATTTGGTATGTAAAAGTTTGTACATGCTCGATTATTTTGAATGTTTTGGCATTCATTCAACTATGGTACAAAATCATAGTTATATTTATGAAATATTATTTTATTGCTTATTTTGCTTTGGATTGTTGTTGATTTGAGAACGAATTGTGTATAACTATGATTGCGGGGCAGAATAATACATGTATGGGGCTACGCATGGGTATACATGTTTTTACAGACGGCACTGTTTAAATTTGATTATAGAATGTATTATACATTTTTACGTGCAAGCTTTATTTCTTTTACTGTCTGCACTACTATTAATGGTAATGGTAATCACCTGATTTTATAGATTCCACTTCTATAAAGTTATTTGATTTCGATGCGCTTGAAAAAATTACAACATTTTTGCGAGCTTTTTTTTTATAATATTTGAATTTTATTATTTTAATCAGCGTATTGAGATCTTATATAATATTTTATACTAATTTTCGCCGTATCTAAGATATCTTTGTTTGGGAGCTAATATATGTATGTATGTATCTGATAAATATATCTATCACTGAAATTGTTAATGCTTGAGCATTTCTATTATCGTCACATTTTTGACTTGGGATAATTGTCTTTTCTTTATATTTTTGTATTCCAAATATGTTAATTATATCAAATTCAGCTTTTCACACTCGTATCTCTTCATGCACGTCATATTTTCTTTTGCATTTCGTTACTTTATTTAACACGTTGTATAAATGCAATTTGTAAATACAAATTGCTTAATAACTTTTCCCCTTTTTGTTCTCCATTGTTTCTGCTTTCAACACAGATGTTACCGCTTGCCACACACGTGCCACAACCGCAACGGGGCGGCTGGAGCGTGTTGTATATATCCTAGTCCCAGCAAGCGGGTTCTACACGCAGATAGTTAATGATGCTCCCCCCCGCTTGAGCCACATGTCCTTTAGCACACTCGACCCCATCCCGCGTTCCCTTACCTAAATATATTTGGTGGCAACGCTTTGTTGTCCCCTTTTTTAAAACCTCGTTATGGCCTTGTTGTGGGCAGGACGAAACGGGGGTGAACAGGCATCAGATTTGGCAGAGATTAGCGCAGTGGGTTTTTGCGGTTCCTTTGCTTGGGTGTTCAGCGGACCGAACTTAATTAATTTGTTTATTTTAAAGTTAACTCGATGATACAGGTGAGAAATTTCAAGGAATAAGGAAGACTTCTGCAAACACGTATTTTATTTAAAGTCCTTCAAGGCACAAACACAAAAAGCTCTTAAAATTCATTTAATATTAATATGCATTCTATGCATTCTATAGATTCTATACTATATTCATACTTTATATATAGATCTTCAGGGCTGTTATTTGTTTTTCTTGATTTCATTTTCCACACGCTTCAGTATGCCGTCCATATTGGTAACCAGCTGTTCCAAAATTTCCTCCAACAGTGACACGCGATTGTTAAGACTGATGGACAGAAGAGAAACTTTAAATATATGAAAATATATTTAATTTAAATTGTGCCTACCGAAACATGTCCTTGTCCTTAACATCATTTGGTACATCTTCAAAGTAGTGTGCCCTGTAGAAAGAGTATTTTTTTTGGCAATTATTCTAAACGTGTTTTCCATATTCAAACTTACTCTGCCTCCGTCATATTTCTGCGCATTTGAACCTTGGGCTGTTGATAGCGACTGGAGGACAAATCCTCTGGTAGATCGTCGTCAGTATCGTGTCGCTGTTGCCTTACAGGTTGATGTTGACGTTTACGACCGCAGTGCATGATGTAATAAATGAAACCAGTTATTTTCTTATAGATATAAGAGCCAAGCTGACTGCGACCCTGAGTTATTTCACTCTTCACCGAGTTGTAGGTTTCCATTATGATGGCCAAGAACATGTTCTAGAGGAATAAGACGCGTGAAATAATAATGCTGATCAAAAGTAAATGAGAAAATAATAGAACGCCGGGCTTGAATCGATTTGTAGCCAAAGGAAATATAAAATGTGTGTCCTGCTTACCAGTAAAATGAAGAAGACCAACAGAATATAGGTTAGAAAGTAGATGGGTCCCAGCACACGATTTGCGTCCTCTATAAGATTATATTGAAAGTCGCCAAGAATCATGCGTATCATGGTCAAAATGGAGGTGACAAAATTACGAAAATCTGGATGCTTGGTGCCAAACAGCAATAGACCCAGCTGAGCATAGGCCAGAAACACAATGCCAAACATAAGGCTGAACCCAGCCAAGTCTTTGGAGCACTAAGCGAGGAAAAACTAAATGAAAATGGTGGAAATTTATTAAGCCCAGACACTTACGCGCTTTAATGTGGTTGTGAACTGCACGAGCGTCTTGTTAAAGCTGATGAATTTAAAGATCTTGATCCAGACGAGAAATGCCAAAATAGCCATCATATCCACGTAGATGGTATTCCAAAAGCACAGAGTATCTAAACTCTGATAGGTTTCCTCGAAACGCACTCTAGAGACCAAAGACTTTATTTTGAACGTATGCCAAATATTATAGACCAGAGCCAGGTAACAAAACTGTGACAGAGTTTAGTTTATTTGAGCTCAGTTTGGATTATGTTTGAGGAAAACCTACGAGTTGAATAAGCAAGTCCTGGATATTGAGTATGGACTTAAAATAATTCTTGAGGCCGCATTTACGCATTGCATGGATCTCATATATGTTATAGTACACAACCATAATATACCAGAATATATAAACAACAGACATGGTCAGACTTTTGTCCGTTATGAAAGAGAACTGTTTAACTGTCTGCAGCTGACTCTGCGGTATAACACCACCGGTGGGCGGTATTTCCGCTATAAATCTGAAAATTAATTTAATAACATTAGGTTCTAATAATCAAAAATATTGGGTGACATCCTAAAGGTATGCTAAAGAAGCGAGTTTCAGTTTAAGTCCAACTGTATTTAATTTCTGCCCCCGACTCACTTGGCGCTCTGAAAGATGTCCGTATTCTCGTTGTACAGATTGAACTCGATCAGACAGAGACGCGAACCGCGATCCAACCAATGCTTTTTTTGTAGCTCCTTGATGGTTTCTAGATTCTTCTTTTTATTGTATGTCAAGTCGACGGTATAGCCACCGGAACGATAGAAACCCAAGGTGGTCCACAATGGCATCGATTCCAATTGCCCCATTGTTTTATATGGTGCACCGCCGTGTTGCCGTACTATCTCCTCCGCACTGGCCGAATATTCGGCATAGCAGGTGTTGAAATATCGTATAAAGGCATCGTTCACATAGCAGCTATCCTTGCGTACACGAATCTGGCGTAATCGTGGCGGTCCCAGCAACAGGTTCTCATGCAAAAAGACTCGGCCTTCGAGGCGCGTCATGTTGGCCTGCCGTTTATGACGTATATGACTCTTAAAGCCTGGCCTTTGACGCTTGATCCTGGCATCGCCTTCTGGATTTTCGGCTGGTTCAGGTGGCTTGGCTTCTGGTTCAGCTGGTCCTTCACCGTCTGGTGGTACATTGCCTCCTGCTTCATTGCCTGGCCTTTTCTGATCGTCATCATCCTCATCTTCAGCGTTTAGACCATCGGGACTAACGATGGCCATATCGCCGTGCAGTATCACTAGGAAATTATAGATCAAATAGTCCCAAAAGTCTGGTATTGTGATCAGTTTCTCAAAATTTACAGTCACCGAGGGCGCAATGACCATATCACGTGTGGTGAACAGTTTCTTGATTGTATCGTTCAAATAAAACATATACGAGTGCCGAACAGAGAGTGTGACTGTAATAAAGTTCCGGTTACTATTCTAATTATAAATGATATACGCGAATATATGGTATTATATATAAAACTGTCTGTAATCAACGCACATTAAGACGGAGTCGGTTAAACAATCATTTTCAAAGATTTTATATATGACACGGGCAAGGCCGGGGTTTACTTGCTATTATCCAATATAGAAATTTCCCACTCCCATAACTCGGTCTAAACTCAACCGATTTCTATAATATTTATATTTTTTTCATGGTTTGACCTCTAGATCAATTTGGCATCTAAATCTGCCAACATTATTTTTTGTCGAAATTCATGTGAAAATGGTACCCTCAAATATCCTATTTAGACATAGGACAAGATTTCCCACCCTCATAACTCGGTCAAAATTCAACCGATTTTCATAAAGTTTGGATTTTTCCTCATGGTTTAGCCTCTAGATCAATTTGGCATATAAATCTGGCCACATTATTTTTGGTCGAAATTCATGTGAAAATGGTACCCTCGAATACCCTATATGGACATAGGACAAGATTTCCCACCCTCATAACTCGGTCAAAATTCAACCGATTTTCATAAAGTTTGGCTTTTTCCTCATGGTTTAGCCTCTAGATCAATTTGGCATCTAAATCTGCCAACATTATTTTTAGTCGAAATTCATGAAAAAATGGTACCCAAATATCCTATTTAGACATAGGGCAAGATTTCCCACCCTCATAACTCGGTCAAATTTTGGATTTTTCCTCATGGTTTAGCCTCTAGCAATTTGGCATCTAAATCTGCCAACATTATTTTTTGTCGAAATTCATGTGAAAATGGTACCCTCAAATATCGTATATAGACATGGGTCCAAATTTCCCACCCTCATAACTCGGTCAAAATTCAACCGATTTTCATAAAGTTTGGATTTTTCCTCATGGTTTATCCTCTAGATCAATATGGCATCTAAATCTGCCAACATTATTTTTGGTCGAAATTCATGTAAAAATGGTACCCTCAAATATCCTATTTAGACATAGGACAAGATTTCCCACCCTCATAACTCGGTCAAATTATGGATTTTTCCTCATGGTTTAGCCTCTAGATCAATTTGGCATATAAATCTGGCCACATTATTTTTGGTCGAAATTCATGTGAAAATGGTACCCTCAAATACCCTATATGGACATAGGTCAAAATTTCCGACCCTCATAACTCGGTCAAAATTCAACCGATTTTCATAAAGTTTGGCTTTTTCCTCATGGTTTAGCCTCTAGATCAATTTGGCATCTAAATCTGCCAAATTATTTTCGGTCGAAATTCATGTAAAAATGGTACCCTCAAATATCCTATTTAGACATAGGACAAGATTTCCCACCGTCATAGCTCGGTCAAAATTCAACCGATTTTCATAAAGTTTGGATTTTTCCTCATGGTTTATCCTCTAGATCAATATGGCATCTATATCTGAAAACATTATTTTTGGTCGAAATTCATGTGAAAATGGTACCCTCAAATATCGTATTTAGACATGGGTCCAAATTTCCCACCCTCATAACTCGGTCAAAATTCAACCGATTTTCATAAAGTTTGGCTTTTTCCACATGGTTTAGCCGCTGGATCAATTTGGCATCTAAATCTGCCAACATTATTTTTGGGCGGAATTTTGTGAAAATGGTACCCTCAAATATCCTATTTAGACATAGGACAAGATTTCCCACCCTCATAACTCTGTCAAAATTCAACCGATTTTCATGAAGTTTGGTTTTTTCCTCATGGTTTAGCCTCTAGATCAATTTGGCATCTAAATCTAACAACATTATTTGGTCGAGATTCATGTGAAAATGGTACCCTCAAATATCGTATATAGACATGGGTCTAAATTTCCCACCCTCATAACTCGGTCAAAATTCAACCGATTTTCATAAAGTTTGGATTTTTCCTCATGGTTTAGCCTCTAGATCAATTTGGCATATAAATCTGGCCACATTATTTTTGGTCGAAATTCATGTGAAAATGGTACCCTCAAATATCGTATATAGACATGGGTCCAAATTTCCCACCCTCATAGCTCGGTCAAAATTCAACCGATTTTCATAAAGTTTGGCTTTTTCCTCATGGTTTAGCCTCTAGATCAATTTGGCATATAAATGTGGCCAAATTATTTTTGGTCGATATTCATGTGGAAATTGTACTCTCAAATACCCTATATGGACATAGGTCAAAATTTCCCACCCTCATAACTCGGTCAAAAATCAACCGATTTTCATAAAGTTTGGAATTTTTCTCATGGTTTAGCCTCTAGATCAATTTGGCATCTAAATCTGCCAACATTATTTTTGGTTGAAATTCATGTAAAAATGGTACCCAAATATCCTTTTTAGACATAGGGCAAGATTTCCCACCCTCATAACTCGGTCAAAATTCAACCGATTTTCATAAAGTTTGGCTTTTTCCTCATGGTTTAGCCTCTAGATCAATTTGGCATATAAATGTGGCCAAATAATTTTTGGTCGATATTCATGTGGAAATTGTACTCTCAAATACCCTATATGGACATAGGTCAAAATTTCCCACCCTCATAACTCGGTCAAAATTCAACCGATTTTCATAAAGTTTGGATTTTTCCTCATGGTTTAGCCTCTAGATCAATTTGGCATCTAAATTTGTTAACATTGTTTTTGGTCGAAATTCATGTGAAAATGGTACTCTCAAATATCGTATTTAGACATGGGTCCAAATTTCCCACCCTCACAACTCGGTCAAAATTCAACCGATTTTCATAAAGTTTGGCTTTTTCCTCATGGTTTAGCCTCTAGATCAATTTGGCATCTAAATCTACCAACATTATTTTTGGTCGAAATTCATGTGAAAATGGTACCCTCAAATATCCTATTTAGACATAGGACAAGATTTCCCACCCTCATAACTCGTCAAAACCCAACCGATTTTAATAAAGTTTGGCTATTTGCTCATGGTTTAGCATATAGATCAATTTGGCATTTCTTTCGAACTATCAATTGAAGTTCGTCCCAATCTATTATTTCGTACTCACCCAGGGAGGTCAAAACGAGAAATATGATAAACACTCCAAATTCCATGAGTGCATCGCGCACCTCCTCGTCGGTGGTGTAGAGAATACGACCCGCTTTTGCCTTTATAACTTCACGATTTCCAAGGGTGGATCTACGATGTTGTGTAGCCTCCGGATCCTGATCGCCATCACTTCCCCGCTGAGGTTCTTTGCGCTTGAACATGGTGCCAAAGACGCTGCTGGCACGTTGCGTTGACCGTGTGGGCTGTGGCTCTTCGGGGTCTGGCTGTATGGATCGTCTCCTTTCGGGCGCTGGCTGTTCGGATCGTCCGGGCAGAGTAGAAGCAGATGATTCCGCGGGCGTTGGCCCGTATGCATCCATCTCTTTTTCCGGCAGAACTACACGCTTCTTACGACGCGATGTGCGCTTACGCGGCAGATCGTTTTCTGTTGCCTCAGATTGGGATGGAAGATTAGCCGTTGGTGAACTGTCGCCGGGAGCTTCAACTCGTGGACGTGGCTGCACGGGCGGTGGCGGGCCGCGAGGCGAACGCTTCGGCGGCTTGGGGCGTGTTGCCTTCTTCGAGGTACTGGGAGTATCTTCATTATCAGACATTTTCGCTTATTTTCTTTGTTCTATTTGAATATTCAAATTTGAGTTTTTTTTTTGTTTTTATTTTGTTTTTTATGGGATTTGTTTATTTCGTTGCTTTGTGCTTCACAAGCTCCTTGACTGAGACTGAGCTGCTGGCAAACGGGCTGCTCTCTGACAGGACACAGCTTGAAGTTTGAGCAATGTTTGCTTTGACCTGGCGAGCTATCAAAATGTGGGTATGCCTTAAAAGAGTGTGTGTGTGCGCATAAAAAATGGCAAGAAACGCAGCGAACATCTGCACACAGCAACTGCATCCTTATAGCCAAACACATCCTGGCATCGCCCTTATACATATGCATATTTCATGCGTTAACGCCAACATTTGAATTGCAGCAGCAGCAGGACAGTGGCTGGGGCATGGACAGTGGCTTGGGCAGGGGCAGGGGCGGGGGCAGGCTGTGTGGCAGTTGCAACTGCAGGCAGTTTTTGATTTATGTTCCTCCTCAGCGCAACTCCTTTGGGCTATCAGCGCCCAGTTGAGTTGTCAGGACATATAAAAAATGCATGGGAAATCGCATAAATGTGTAAAGATCCCTCAACAAACCGCTCACAATGGCTTAAGGACCCAGCTCCTTGAATAACATAACAATCTGATATTCTATGCAAATTCAAAAAGTTGTACTAAAGTTCTTCAACGCCATTTGACATTTTAAATGTAATAAAAAGACAAAATTAAGAAAACGCGGAGAAATAAATCATTTATGATAGCCAAGTCAAGAAATTTGCAGTATCGATAAATTTTGTAAAACTATTAACAATAATATGGTTAGCAGCTTTTAGTATAGATGTGATAGGACTCCAACAGAAAATTAAGGAAAAATCTAGGGGAACTAACTCCTTTAGCAAGGTTCCGAATCCTCTTGGTCTAGGTTCCAAATTTCGAGAACACGAACTTTTTTAACGCTCTTATTATAGTAAATAACGATAGCTTAGTAGTTTTTATCTACTTTAATTGGATATATTATTTATTAAAAGCTTCTTTGAAAAATTCAAGCGTTTACTAAAGTCTCATGACATCGACTTGCGAGTCGCTTGGGAAGCAGTAAACTGATACAGTTCACGCACGAGTTCACGACTCAGTTCTGGTTAATCGATATTTTAGTTTTCCTATCGAGTTATCGTGAATGCCACAGTTTGTGGTCCTATTGTGAATAAGGTGTGCCTCATTTTGATTGTTTAACAATAGAAATCTGCTTCTTTGAGACCTTAAAAGACTAGACTTTGGTAAATATTAGATAAATAAATATAGTATTAGCTTAGGATAAACAAATGTTTTACCTTTTATCAACATACAACAGCTGCCCGATTAATCATAGTTATTAAATAAAACTCGTTTTTTTTATATATGTTTTATGTTTGAAAATATTGAAAGGTTTATTTCTTTGCATTTATTTTAAAATATTTATAAAGTTAACTTTTCAATATTCACTAAACAGCTTTTAAAACTCTAGATCATTACTTTATCCTTTTTAAATATTAGAACTATTTCATAGGTAAATTTATACTTTATGTTTATGCAGTTTAAGTACACTTTTATTTTTTTATTTTTGGAAAACAAATAATAGTTTGAAAAATTTTAACAAAATAGTTTATAACTATTTAAATATAATATTGTTATTTTGAAGCAAGAAATCAATTATAGTTGTGCTTAGATCAAGATTATGAAACGAAAGACTAAGTTTTAAAGTACTACTGACATAGGAAATACGTGTGTGACATTATTAAAGCTAAGTAGCTGCAGGGTTTTTCCTTTTCTTAACATTTTCCAGTTTTTTTTTGGTGAATTTTTAAAAAGTTTTTTAGCCGACTTAACTGAAATTTGCAATGTGTGCTCGCTACGAACGGAATTTCGAATGTTTTGTGCCATATAACTATGACGTCTAAAGGATATAGTTACACATATGTCTATATATAAATATATTTTTTATTATAAATATGAAACAGAGCTGTTGTCGATAACGATTTCGATGCCATTTAAAGCGATTAGAAAAATCTACTCAATTTTCTTGAGGTTTTCTTTTTCCAAATCTCTCGAAATTGTGTCGAAATCCAAATCGAAAACAGATCCGAATTATTTTTTATTTATTTTTATTATATTTTTTATTAGCACTAGAAGCTACAAATTAATTTGCTAGTATAATTTGTTTATATTTTTTTTTTCATTTTTCTTTATGTGTTATTAGTTTTTTTCATTGAAAATGTTCGTTTGATTTTCCATTGTTGCTTAACTATTTGGCTTTGAAAATACTTTGGCGCCACAACGCAGCTTCAGTTTTGTGTTGGTTTACATTGTATGGTTTTTTTTGTTTGTTTTTCCCCTTTTTGACTTTTCCCGTGTTTAGTTTTGTTTTCCTTTCTGTTTTTGCCAACCACATGGATAAAGAATATAATGCACTAGAAATTGTTTTCAGCAAAAGTGATTACAACACGGATGCAACTTTTAAGCTACTTCTTTGGTTGGTTTTGTGTGTGGATGTTTGTTTTTTTTTTGTTTTTGTTTATTAGCTTGTTCTAAGCCCTTCTTCTTCTTCTCTGTGCATCTAGCGAAAACATTATTTGTGCCCCCAACTCTTGCCCCACGTTTGCATATTTGGTGTTTTTTTTGTTTTGTTTTTTTTTTTTTTTTTGCTTAACATTAGAAGATACATTTGATAATTGGTCCTTTGGTTTCAAAACTTTCACGCTAAAAGGCACAATATGGAACTAAACTATTTCTATTTGTGTATCGGTGTGTGCGTGTGTGTGTTAGCCACGCCGGCTTGCTGTTTTTTTTTTTAGTAGGGCTTGCCCGTATCCTTGGGCCGCTTTAGCTGCACCTTCAAGCGCTTTGTGCCAATCTGAAAGCCATGCATGGCCTGTATGGCCGCATTTGCCGAGTGCGGATTGTCGTAGGAGACGAAGCCAAAGCATTTCGATAGATTTGTTTGCTTATCGATAAACACTTTGGCCGATAGCACATTGCCGAAGGGCAAAAATGTCGAGGCGAGATCGGTATCTATGAATTCCTGAGGTAGATGATAGATAAACAGATTGCTGCCATCGGGACCTGCGATTAGAGAGAGCATTAGTTAATATTATTATTATTAATTAATTCTATTTTATGCCTGTACAGTGTGCGCTTGAGAATTGGATTAGTTTCATAAATAATATTATTTCTAGCTGTGTCATATTGTCTATACTAAATGTACTTAATATATGATTGAATTTGTGTGTTGACTGACTGACAGATTGATTGACTGATAGATTGACTGACTGATAGATTGAATGATTGAAGATCATCAGACTTTCCAAGCCGTAATGGCTAGGTTAAAATATATCAGCCACTGGTTTTCTTTTGTGAAATACGTAAATATTATGACGGTCTGCAAATGTCCTACGTATTCTGCGGAAAATGGATGGAATGAATTTATTTGTATTTTTTTTTTCTATTTTCCTTTCCAACATCAAGTTTCGCCTGAATACAATTCATAATGAGAGCTATTTATAAAGTATTCTCTATGTATTCGTAGAACATATTAGAAGTTAACTATTTTAGCTACATTTAATTTTTTATTTTTTATTTTTTTAATTAACAGCTGTCATACAATATTAATGCTTCCCAATTAGCGTCTTATCTAATGAACATTAAAGTCCCGATTTTAATAATGGAAAGTTGTTGTATTCGAGCGTTCGCTGTAGGCATTATTGGACTTACCCTCGATCTGTTTGCCTGCCACGCCCGCGGCGGCTGCCTGCAAGGCGCTGGCATTCAACGACTGAGCGGCTCCATAGGCCGCGGCGCTGGCGCCGTTGGTCAAGCCGCTTAGTGTGCTGGTGCCGTAAGGATCTGCGGCGCTGGCGGGCCCTAAAAATATAATTTTCGATTTAAAAAACAATATTTCTTATATAATGCGAAAAATGTTGGCGCTGGGCTAGAGAGAGGAGTAAACCATATAAGTTGTTGTTTGTTGCTTAAGCTTATGCAAGTTGTTGTTTGATAAAAACAAATTACACGACACACAGAGAGACAGAGACAGAAACAGGCTGTTGACACGCCCACACACGCCCACACTCGCCCACACACACCCACACACACTCACAGAGTTAACGCATTTGAAAATCGGGCTTTATATATTTTGACCCAGGTTTTCCTTTGTTTTGCTTTGCATTTTTTGTTGTTATTTTTATTTATTTTTTCATCTGCTGCCTTACATTATTAAAATGTATACATCCTTTTGTTGTAGCATAAAAAAATTTGTTAGCCTTTGTTGTGCGCACGGCGCCTGTTTTTTAATTGAGCCGAGACCCAGCCCCCACACCAAGTCCCAAGCCCAACCCCCCACCGCACGTTTTCTTTGTGCAACACACACACAAACACACACACTCACAGAGAGTTTTGTAATATACTAAAAATTTATTACGTTTTCTCCGCGTTTCTTTTGTTATTTACATACGTGTAATACATAACAAACAAATGAAAATAAAAGACCTACTAAAAATAAAGGAAAAAAACTTGTTACGCAATGAAAGTTCTGCATTTCATGCAATTTCATATGCACTCGACATGTGGGGAAACAAAAAGAAAAAAGATGAAAATCATCATAAACATTGGGCATTGTTTTTTTTTTTTATTTACCATCAAATTATGGCCCTGCATTTTTTATGCGCAACATTTATTTTCTTTTGGGTTTGGCTGCACAATTTAGAGAGTTATTAATTTTTCAAAAAGCCTTCAGGCAAATTGGGGAAATGGTAATTGAAGAGCTGTCTAATCAGTGTTTAAAAAATAATAAATTGATAACATTTTACTGAGTGCCAGGGTTGCTAAGACTAATATTTTTATTTAAAATTAACGGTATTTGTACTGCGCTTCGATATATCTGTATATGTTTAGCTATTTCTATTGTATATATGTATATTAATCGATTATTTTAATCGCACCTGTTTACGAATGTAGCTCTATTACTTATACTATATTTATATATATATAGCATTTTTAGATAATGTGAATGAATATATAATATAATATACATATATATAATATGGAACATACGCGATTTAGAACTATTTTATCCTGTACATCTTTCGATGTTGAC